ATAGTTAATTAAAAATTATTCGTTTGACTGGAGGTGGTTTCTTTAGAAGACGACGTGGATCATTAAAATCAATTAAATTTTGAATCGAATGCATCGCGATATTTGCTGTACTTACAATTTCGAACCACAGTAACGGAAGCGTCAAGTCGGAGAACTTTTCCACGTTGGCCATGTGTCCGATACTCTGCAGAGCCATGTTAATCTGGAATCGGAACGCCAGATCCATGGGTATCCCGGACGTCGGTTGAATGAAAAAGTAGGACTCGTGCAGCTCCTCCTGGGGATTCAGTCCTTCAACGGCCTCCTTCAGCGACGGGTCGCTCTTGTAAAAGTGCGGATACGACAGTGCGATTGGGAATCCTGTAATAAAGGTCGGGAAGATCTTACAGTATATACCTACGCGATCTCAATTCGCTGGACAGGTCTAATTCGTACGCGAGAATCTGCCTATAAATCATCGGATTACGGCGCGAAACATCGACGCGTTCCCGAGTCTCCTAAGATGTTTTCGTGTCGCGCATTACTCAGTGAAAATAGCTTTTCTCCTTATGACGTAATCGACGTGGCATAATTTTATTATCGTGAACGGGCGATCGTTTGTCGCTTTTTATCCGCATAAGATGGAAATCATCGCGTGATAATCCCAAAGACGAGCTTTCTGGATTTGCTTCACGAGGAGCAAATTACTTCAAACATAAATTATTCTTAATCACCTGTTCGTGCCATTTAGGCGCGACTGCTTTTTTCTCCTCTTTATCCTTCACTCGCGTACCGAATTGGAACTGCTGATTTTTATTGCGACATGACCGAAGCAATTGGAATCTCGCAACATTACTTCGACGGAGACTAGTCGGATGACCGCAACCGGTAAACAGACTTGCGAATCATCGATTTTGTGATGCATATCGAAATTCCATTCTCTTACAAGTCTGTTTCTTATAAAAGACACGGCGACGGAATGACTGAGGCACTTAATTAAGTTATGTAAGAAGATACGTTAATGATATGTGCTGTACAATAAAATGTGCATTATAGACGCAATTAATTAATAATTTATTCGCCGACGAGTTTGAGACTTCGATTTGGAACTGCGTATTGCATTAACGAAGCCATTACCATCTTCAACTAATATACGGAATAATTTATTGAAATTAACTGGTATATTGATAATATCTTACCGTAGTAACAATCGGTCACGTCGATTAAACCCGCCTTCAGGCAGTGTCCTTTCCGGCAGAAGCATTTATTCTCTGGATTCACCGCTCCGTTATCCAATTCGTTCTCCATGAACTTATATTTGTACGAATGCAAGCCTTGTATCACCTTCTCTCCGTCTCGTACCTTTGGAAAAGATATATTATTACAAAGGGATGTTTATCTTTAGAGAAAAGTATTTAAATTTGTACGTATTTCGAAATAGGATACTTTAACGCCAACATTTTTAATATTTCATTATTAATAATATGAATTTTCAATATTTTATTATTAATTGTATGCATAATTGAACATTGCTAATGCAAAATTTATATATTATACTAAATAAACCCGGTTTTTTAAAATGAAGATATTAAGGTAGATATTTCATTAATTTCTACATAAGCGTTTAAAAAGATTTGATTCCAATTAAGTTCGAGTTAATTTTAACAGATTTTCAATTTAAAGATCAACTGTGAAGCAATTTTCAACGTTGTGAGTTGAGATGCAGAAAAAGGAAAAGAAATAAAAGGTGACGGTTTTTCCTGATGAAAGATTGCTCGAGCTGCTCGAGGGATAGATCCATCAATTGCATAAGAATAATTTACGAGCATTCTGTATAAGGGAAGAAAGTCAATAATAAAAAGAAATAAACGTTACACACGAGTAACGTCGCTATGACTCGGCAGAAGGTTCTCGGCCGAACTGTTTAACCGTTTCGCCGTGATGTGACTGCAATGATCAAAATTACCAGTCGTTCGCTTCGACAGAGGCTCTTGCGAAAGAAGAGGAGCGTGTCGTTAGGCTCGATGTAGCTCGGAAACTTAACGCCGTCGCTCGCGCCGTGCACATTCGCGCATTTGCCAGTCCATTGCGGTAGGTTCGTGTCCCCATTATACTTATCGATCAAGCCTGTCATCCGGATATCTGTCTCTCCTGTGTAAATCGTCTCGAAATCGCCATCGAAGTCGTACATCTGTGAAGCGTAGTAAACGCAAGATTTTTATTATCGCGATGCTTATGCATTCGAGAAAATAGACATTTACATTACTAGAGCATTGCAAGAGAACATGTCTGCGTTAAGGAAAATATACAAAATCTAAAATGAATATTTTTATTCGATAGCTGATAAACGAGCTGCAATTCCACTCGAGTTTTATACATATATATATTTGTAACAAAGAATGCAAGAGTAATTAAAAATTTTTTGATTACCTCAAAGAAAAGCTACGTTACAGTCAGTTCAGAAAAAGATATGTTATTATAAATATATCGCGCGATTATATATATATAATCGCGATTTTATTACTATGTTCCATACATTCCAGAAGTCGCCACTTATATTCCTTACCCTATCGATCAATCCCAGCTTATCGAACTTGATCCAGGAGGGCATTAAGTGATTGCCAAGGGTAACGAGAGTTGACTCGTAGCCGAACATGAATTCATGTGCGGTCATTTGAATCAGAGGTTGAGTATTCGTCCGACGGATCAGCACGTTGAGGCCCCACCTGGACATGAACAAGGTGTCTTTCATCAAGTTTGTGATGCTCTGCAACAATAGAAAAAAGAAAGAAACGTATAATAGGACATATGACAGACTGGCAAATCTTATTATCCGCTTCATTAAAATTCCATTACAATAAGCTGTCATTAAGATTATATAATTGCACGACACTGTTCGCGTGTTACGCACTGACATAAGGAAATCAAGTTGTTGACTCCGCTCATCATTTTTCTCTTATTGTACTAATCATCCTATTAACAGCGTGGAAAGTTATTTTTGTGCGATAATTAGAAACAATATTATCGGTTAGTGCATAATAGAACGATGTTACGCAAAAAAAAAACGAGTTAATGTATAAAATAAAAAGATATATAAATATATTTTTTATAAGCAATATAAAATCCTATATTTTAGATTTAAGAGTAAAAGCTATTATTATTTTTTCAAAAATAAAAAAGGCATGAATATATAGATAGCAAAATTGAATAGCAAATTATTATTGTAAATTATGATGGAGTTACCGCGGATCAATGACATGTTGCATATTGACATTTATTCTGTGTCATTATAATATACCGCTCGTTATCGAACTAACAATAAGTATGACATATCAATAGTTCTCAACAGAGGAAAAAATCAATACATTGCAATCTTCAGTTATTCTTCACCCACGCGATTGCCAGGGTCATTCACTTTACTGATAACTCGACTAACATACTCGACTAACATAAATAATGACATACGGTGCGAGTGGTTTGACCAGTTTCAATCTAGCATTCTATAAAATATTTATTCCATATTTTACATCTTTTCGAATTTCTCTCGAAGTTACATTGTGCGCGAACTTTAGCAATAAAACTTTAACAATAAAAAATAATTAAGCAAGAATTTAAATAAAAATAAAAATGCGTGCCATGTAAAGAAGTTAATTTCTCAAGAATTTTTCATTATGGGATTTAATAACAATATAGCAAATCACATTGTTATCGTAAATGATACAGAAAGTATCATAGTTAAAAATTTAATTTTTAAAAACTTATTACAAGATAAATCCAACAAAAATAAAAATTAGATTTTTTTTTAAGAAAACAGAAACTTGTTCTCAAAACGAGAATTTTAATCGTCAATTAATTATTTGCTTATTGATATTTTAATAGAAATGTAACAAAATTTTCAATACAGAAAAGTAAATGTTAATAGAGAAAATAATTAGGAAATCATGTCTGTATGTTTGTCCTAACTTTAATGTCATTGAATTTTCAAGAAACTCAATCCAACTCGGTGGTAATCAATGTCAATGGACAATGCCTACATGCAATAGAAATGCTATAGAATATAAATGAAACGCTTTCTCCCGTGCGACCTTTTAAACAGATAAGAGTGTTTATGGCGTATCTATTACTCTTAACTGACGGCTTTACAATTTGCGTGCCCACGAGGAATGTATTGCTTAAGCGGATTCTTCTCGAAACACGGTTCACTGCACCTCCTGCACATTATAAATGCACATTAAAAACAGCGAATTTAATTAAATGTTGAGATTCTATTTCTTCGTAGGCGCAATAACTTTAAAGTAATCACCGTGACGGCGTAACGTGTGGATTTATGTAGAGCGTAAAACGCAAATTACACTGTAACATACCAAAGTTATTTTGCATCAAGATTTTTGTAAAAAAAATTACGTTTCCATTATTTATCGTCGAGCAAATCGTGGATGCACGTTTCTAGAAGTCTTTGACTTGAAAACGATTTAATAGCCGCATATAATTTATGATTGCTTGAATTACCATAACGAAATTTTACATTAATTTTCCAATTTAATTTAAAATGCAGTTATTTATCTATTAATTAGTTTTACGCTTATAAAGGCATATTCAATATATTTACTAGTAGTTTTATACGAAAATAATTGATTATTAGGAATTTATTAAGAAGATATAAAAAAGATGGCATGTGTAAAGATTCTATGATTTTATTCATGCAATGAAAAAAAAACTTATTGTTTTACATGAATTTACATAATTGTTCGGTAACAACGACTGTTTCTCGAGACAAAGTCAACTAATGGATATAAATGTAATTTTTAGATGTAACGTGTCGGACTGAGCGTTTTTTTTTCACCGCTCATTAAATTTCTAATATGACAAGTTTTATGATTACGATAATAAGTGTGCGTCATATTGTGAGTTTTGCGTTTTACACGTCTATTTGCATGTGCAAACCAATACAAATGGAAATACTGTACTTAATTACGTGTAATTTTATGACGCGTTCTAATTAACTTTTGTTCATAGCATAAGTATATAAGTGCTCACGAGATTGCTTTTTACGGGCCATTGATTGGTACTTCTAAATGTTGACAAGATTCTCCAAAGTACATTTCAAGTTTTTATATGAAATTGTTTTACAATGAGACGCTCTGCCCGCCGTACACGTTTTACAATTTTCAAATATCTATTATACGCATGTAATTAAACGATATTATGTCTCGCTGTATTATTAATTCGTGTGATGACATGTGAAACATGTCTTCACGCGATTCAGTTTCGATAATAATGAGAACAATGGGTGTATTCTTGTCGTCAAGTATCATTGCGACAATTTTGTATTGAAAGAATTGTCGAAACATACTTACTTAAATGGCAAGAATAAACTCCTTGTCCTCATCAGTGTTTTTATAAAAATTAATTTTGGAAATTTATATGAGAAATTATACAAAAATCTATGCCGTAATATTCGAAAAACAAATGACCGATTTTGAAATTAATAAAAAACCAATTAAATTAATGTTGAAATTGAAAGTCATGCTATCTTGAACATATACTGTCTATATTAATAATAGTTAATAATAGTCGAATTTTCCTCTGAGGTAATATTTGGACAACAGATAACTTAGTTGTAACAGATAAATTAGTTGAAAAATAATTGAAAATTATTTTTTAATTATTTGAACGAAAAAAAAAATTAAATGTCGAAACTTATGTTGCTGGTCTTGCAACAAATATTGTTTGCTAGTAATACTCGAATTTCTCTGATTGCGAGATGATACTAAAGAGAAAATAGTATTTGAAATCAATGAAAAATAATTAAATTGACGAAATTGAAAGTCATAATATCGATCTTGCACAAACATGTTCGTTAATAATAGTCGAATTTCCCTCTTCTGAGGTGACGATGGAAAGGGCATTAAACTGCGTCTCTTGTCAGCAATATTCTTCCTGGCTTCTCGCGGCTGCTTGACCGCGCAAAGCGACGGGAGTCTCGAGAATGGAAATTTCTCGTAAACGCGGACGCGTACTTCGCGTTGTGAGGCGATATGCACATATGTACGTTCTAGAAAAATCTACGCCGCATTAATGAATACGTTATAGTATATGGAATATGAAATTGCGGCTCGCATAATTAAACTCGACAAGTGAAGAGCGGGAGTACTTAGTTTCCTTGCGTAATATCTGATGGTGAGTTTAAGTTATTTATGTCCATGTTATGTTACAATTCCGTTAATTATAATAGACATGACACATTCCATGAAAATAATATAGTGTCACTGGATTTTTTTTTTGCATTTTATCAAGGTAATCTTGATACTTATAGGTAATCAACGCGCGTAAATATTCATGAGTACATGGAAAGAACGATTTTGTTGACAAATCTAAAAATTTTGTTAAAAATAGATCTGAAAATAATTTTTTATTTAATTATCAAAATAATTTGTTGGAATGTTAAAATTGATAAGTATTGCTATAAAACGTTTTTGATATTCTAGCAATCATTTTGACGTTCGCACAAAATAATTTTGACTTTTGAACAACAATTATTTTCAGATTTAGCAAAATTGTTCTTTCCGTGTGAAAAACTCGGCCGATTAACTATTACGCGGCGCTACATTCGATTCTACTTCAGCGAAACAATAAAGTTATTTAACGGGATGCGTTTTGCCGGGAGAATGTTGCACGGTCTTCTAACTGATAAATTAACCGTTGGAAAAAATATGCATGCATATCCGAGAAAACCGTGGTTGTCGCCGTTATATAAGAATGGAATGTATCGTCAATAAACTCGCGCACATATAATAAAGATTCTTGAATCTCTCCGGGAAACGGAGGGGCTTTGCGAAATCGATCGTAATTAACGGTCTGCTGTTAAAATTTACGACGTGCCAGTTAATATCGTATTATATCGAATAAATGAAATGCCATAGAAATGTCGAAGAAGTCTCCAATGAACTTCGATTGCATCAAGCGTGGGTCAGCACTAACTTAGGATTAGTTTGCAGACGTTTAGTGCAAGTGAACCGATGACTAAGTTGTTTCATGTTGCAATCGAAATATTTTTTATATTTATTATATTTCGCATATCAATCATGCCTTTGGCATCAACTAATTTCTTACGGTGCAAACAATACGTTGCGGTCAAAATATATTTAATAAATTTATTGTGTCCTTTATTGTCAAAAAATCGCCAAATGATCGATAATAAATCGTGAATACAAAAAGAAAAAAAGAATTAAACCTTATATGAATATTCATAAAAGATTTGTATGTATGTATATTATAGATATCCGTTTAATAATACTGTTACTGATATAGTAACAAAAAATTTCTACTCTTATTAGTAGATGTTGTAGATTACATTAAAAAATCTGGATTTAACGATTTATTTGAATATTTATAGATTTGTATCAGATACTCTGATTACATCCTTGACATAGAAAAAAAACATCGGGATTAACTAATAACATAATTTGAAACTGCATTACCAGTATTCAGTATGTAAATATAGACGCGATGAAAATATTAAAGTTTTTGCTGCACCATTATCTGTGTTTATTACGCACACTTAGACACTTAATTATACTATTCTTATACCCGAGCTGTGTTAATTAATACGTAAGACGTTCGGGTTTCTTCCACTACGGAATTTACGATCGACGTAATTCATATTGTTGATCTGGTCAAGGTTTACAATTCTGTTCTATATTATCGCCATTGTCACGTCGCGATATGCACGCTTATATACGATGTTGAATAATGCTCGATAAATTTTTCGGTATTCCTTATAGATATCGAGTCAGACGCCTCGAACGTGTCGCGAATGATTTATAAAGCGTGTCTCTCGGTTAATTACATCATTTCTCGAGGATCGAACTACCACGTGCATGCAAAATATTTCGTTCGATTTTATCTCATCGATTTATACAGCATAATAGCGTGAACGATTAATTGTTACTCAGCTGTTCTGTCTGCAACTTAGTTATTCTAATTGGCGTGTATTAGTCACAATTCGTGCATTTGAAATCGCGATATATATACGTTCTTTCCCATGATTAGTAACGAACAAATCCTAAAGTCCATTCTCCATAATTGCCCAACGGAATATTTAAAATGTACGTGAGATTTAAAAAAGATCTCGTTATACACGAATTGGTATACAAGATTATTGAGATACGCATTTGTACAAGTTTGAGATCCCGTTTTATTTATCATATTTAATATATTCATGCACACCAGTTAAGTTTAGCCCAATTAGTTTAAGCCCGGTGTAAGAAAGGAAATGGAAATCAATAATCGCGAGATCTTATCGTATCGTACTTTTCAAGTCTTTTTTTTTTTACAATTTTTAACAGGACCGGCACGTTTCTCAGCGTCAGCGGCCAGCCATGTTTGCACGAACGGGCTTGTTTATCTGAACGAACGTGCATATTAATCGGGTTCACGCGTCTGATAAGATATAACTTTTCCGAGAGGTACGCCGGATCGTTTAACAAGAGTTAATATCTTAACTATACTTACGAACAGCGCAATATTCGGCATTATTACGAGATCCTCTTCCGTGCCGTTGCTCATTTCCGGTACGTATCTCAATGGATGCACCGGTATCGCCGACAATGTACCGTTGTCATTGAAAACCACATTCGCATGCTCGAACAATTCTCTGCAACAAGATTAATGATGTTAGTTATTAATTTGTCATTATACTCGTAATGTTATTATACTGTAATTGTACGTTTAGAATACATTCCTTTCGTAGAATCATTGTGAAAATGCACTTTCTACACAGGTGACTAAGTGTGTCGTTATATGCGATTGATTTTTATCACAAAAAAATACTGTCAACAAAAAATATTTTAATACAAAGATTATATATTTACATCAGGATTATTGAAATAATAAATAGAGATTATACAGGATGTTGCCGATCACCCGCAATCGGAACACACTACCAGATTAAGCATTTTATCCCAAAAGAGCCTAATAATTTGTTGATCCGCAGCATTAATAAACTATTTTTTAAAATTAATTAAATTAATACAATTTTTAAAAATTAATTTTATAATAAATAACAATAATTTCTTACAATATGGTATTATAATACATAGAATACTTTGAAACACAGTGAATGACACAGATCAAAAATTTTTAACGATCTCAGACTTACAATTAGTGTTCGATAAATTTGGAATAAAAAATGCTTAATCTGACAATGTGATACTAAGTCTGAGATCGTTAAAAATTTTTGATCTGTGTCATTCACTGTATTTCAAAGTATTCTATGTATTACTAATATTGTAAGAAATTATTGTTATTTATTATAAAATTAATTTTTAAAATTTTTATTATTTTAATTAATTTTAAAAAATAGTTTATTAATTAACTACACTGCAACAAATTATTAGACTCAATAGATTCGGGATAAAATGCTTAATCCGGTAGTGTGTTCCAATTGCGGATGATCGGAGACACCTTGTATATAAGAGGATTATATTTAAACACTATGATTATATATAGTAAAATAGAGAAACGTTATTGTAAAAAAGAAAACGTATCTAAATATTGTTGTTAGAATTATTGGAAGATACAAGAATTATTTTTGGAGCATAATTTTTCGCAACTTAAAATTTTTAAGTCAGTGGATAAATGAATAAAAATTTATTTGTCAAGTTTTTTAACTTTCCAACTTTCGAAATTAAGAGTTATAAATTTATACGTCTTTTGTGTAGCTATAATTCTTTCCTATCGATTTTATTTTGCTATTTTGACACGTGCGCGTCTTCTCTCTTATTTTACAAACATTTAAGTTAAATTTAATTGAAAGGTTATCAATGGGTATTGAACTGTGTAATACGAGATTGAACCATTCCGATACAAGAACCATCATTCATTTGATCGCGCGAGTTCTGCAAATTTATTGCATTTGAATGCCGGGAAAGAAAAACAAGAATGCACAATCAAATGATTGAAAAGATAAGTGTATATATGGAATAGCCAGTGTATAAACTAGATTACGTCAAATTAATAATTGCTATTTACGAGATGACTCATTATTTCTCTCGAGCTCTTAAACGTCACGACCTCCAACTTCCGCGGCTGCGGAAAGATTCTTTTTTATTGCGGTATGTAATTTCCGCTCGAGTTTTCCGTTCTGATTAATACATATCTCAGCCTTTCTTTTTTTACACGCACCTTCTAAGCGATATGTAGATGAATGAATTTTCAAATCACCTATCATTATCTGAATCAGATAACTGCAGGAAAAGAGAGAGAGAAAGAGAGAGAGAGAGAGAGAGAGAGAGAGAATTTATTTCCGAAATAAATTCCACACGAAAAGAACACTTTTGCTGAATCCAGATCTGAAAATAATTTTTGTTCAATAATAAAAATAATTTTGCGCAAAAGTCAAAATGATTGCTAGAACATCAAAACGTTTTATAGTAATGCTTATCAGTTTTAACATTCCAACAAATTATTTTAATGATTTAATAAAAAATTATTTTCAGATCTGTTTTTAATAAAATTTTTAGACCTTTTAACAAAATCATTCTTTCCATGTATTGACTTGATTGAGATGCTCTCGGTAAATGTGACGGGGCACAGAATTAATGTCGTTACGGGTAACGATAACAACATCGGGATGTGGTTGGATGCGTTAAATAGATCGTGATTCACAATCCGTTCTTGACTCGCAGCTGTACAGAACGATGATCTACATACGCGCGTTTCCGCATACGTAAACCAGGACTTGAGACATATTATCGTGCCGCTTACTTGTACACGTAGGGCCCAGTTTCCTGGAATCGCAGCTTGCTCTCCTTGCCGCTCAGGTATTCGTCGCGATTTGTCACGTTAAACAGGTAGATCTTGATGTAGATATCGACCTCGGGCTTCCGCCATAACTCGAAGGTCTCGCCGCCCTCGCCGAAGGGAACCTTCCATCTGAAGATCGCGTCGTAAGGGTGGAACAGCATTGTGAGGCAGCCGCACGTAAGGCCGAGCAGGCCGAGGATCATCAGCATAAAGATATCTGTGGGCAAAGAGGGAAGAGAGACGTTATCCAAGACGGAAATCCACGAGGAATCTGCTGGAATTAGGTATAGCGAAGATTATATAGCGAAGCTATAATCAGTTATCCTTCCAACAAGGCTGCTTTCACGCTATTATTTCTCGTGCTGCCCGTCTATATACGTACTCCAATTTCATCGTCGTTCTCCCGTGAAATCTCCTATCCGATAAAATTACTTCCTGTGTAAACAAGTTCGAGAAGATGCTCGATATTTGTGGGTGTGTACTTCGGGGCATTTTCTAGCAAAGAGGAGGCTTTCGAAGATACTGTGTGCATATTACAGATGTCTTTAATGACTTTTAGTAATGATAAACAACATTTTCGTTTGAAGATATCGCAAACAAAATAAGGAGACCTTTTGCATTCAATGTTAGAGATCCAAGAAGCTTTATCGTCAAATGTTACAATACAGATTCTGTTCAACTTCTGTTGAATGTAACCATAAATTTCCTTCGTCAAAGCTATTAAATACTTTAAGATGGTGTAGCCAGCGCGCAACGGAGTTGTGAAATGTGATTAATTATTTCTGCAAAGTGATTCATTGGGACACTGCTGCAGGTGTACAACTGCTTCCCTTGTACTTTTCTACCTTAATTGCATTTACGAATTTACGAGTTCCAACCGCAGCATTAATCTCAGCTAGATTTTGATCGCAGATAAACAAGGATTTAATATGAATATTGCAGCAACTTTCACACAGATCTACCGTGGTTTCGTAATTTATGCTCGTTGAAAGAAATATACCCCGCTTTTCTTCGACCGACGGGTCGCGGCATTGTAATTTTTACAGCGGGGCATTATATTGCGATGCTGGAATTACTACAATGTGGGGGTTAATCGAGTGGACAAATAATCTCTCGATCGTGCGCGGGTTGCGCGATCTTCTCTATGACTTTCCGCCGCGAGGATGAGAAACGGTACTCGACCACCGTATACGGCGGTTAGCTATGAGTGCAATCAGGCAAGCACTTTGAAACTGAGAGATCGACTTTCTGCCTCTAGCTATTTTATCTTCAACATAAACGGAGATTGATGTCAATTTGCTCACTTATGTAACAATCAATGTCAATTTAATGTAAATTTGTAAAGTTACACATTAGTCACTTATATATACACTGCATGTGTATATAAATCCAAGATTATACAAGAAGAAATATCGTGTAAATTTTAAATACAAATTCTGACTAGTAAATTTCGCGTTTTTTTTATCTTTCTTATCGGTAAAATTAGGAAGTTTTCAATATTGTTCTTTTGTTTCAGTACATTCCACATATTTTTGGATACCATTCTGGAAAAAATAATTTATAAAAATAAATCAGCTTCTTTTAATCTAATAATCTGATATTTTTTTATGTTATATACAATTTTCTGTAATTTAATAATCAGAATGCAGATAAAAGAATATTGAATCTTAAAAAAATTAAAGTTGCGCGAAATTTAATGCTATCGTATTTTTTCAGGACACTTTTTGAGAAACACTAAATTCCTAAGGCTAAATAAATATTTTTTAGCAATTGATTTTATAAATATTAATTATATTTAATTATATTAACTATATTAATTATATTTAAATTCTCTAGTTTGACGTTTGTATGTATGTGGCTTATCGATGCGATCGTCGTTTACACCAAGGTAGGTGTAAACGACGCTCGTACTACGCAAATCCTTGGAGTATTAAAATTTATTACGCAGAAACGTCAGGTACCTCAGCGAATATCTGCGCATTATTATGTTATCGTATATTTTTATCCGGTCCAGACGACCAGCACGAGGAAAAAACCTTGGATCTTTAAGATCAGACGCAGAGGCCTTCTCATTTCGCTTCCGATCTCTTTTCAGAGAACGGCGAATTGTTACTCTCGATTTTTCGCATGAATAATTAAAACAATTTGTTCTCTGAAGATTGTCATCAAGTTTAATGTACGCAGTTTGTTCACATAACTTCATATGACTAACGTTCATTATAACGCCCGTTTTATTTCTTGTTTTTTGAAGTTTACGATTATGGCATTTACTCACCTCTACCGCATTGCGTATAACGTTATAGCATTATATATATCCTATTTTTAGCCGCTATAGTGGCCAGGATCTCTTTGGCAAATTGATTTTTCTTTAGCGTAATAAAAAATATACATATATTATATCACACAATTCTCCAAATTTTTACTAAAGAATGCAGTTTTATTTTTTATTTATTTAAAATTTAATTGATGAAGATCGTCAGAGTTTTTTTTAGCATAATAGAAAACACATATGTTATATCCCGCAATTTTCTAAGTTCTAAGTCTTTACTGAAGAATGCAATTTTATTATTTATTTGTTATAAAATTTATAGTTGATGAAGTTACTTTGTCACTAATTATCACTTATTATCAGATATGATTGGTACAAAAACGATTAATTTTGCCGTTTCATAGTTTACGTAGCTCTCGATCGTGTCATCTCTCTAAAATCTCATTAATATTAATATCTAATTAAATACTTATTAATATTAATTGAACCGTTAAGACGTGTCTTATCAGATCCATGTCAGAAACCTCGCTGCCGATTAAAGAAAAAAAAAACACATCGACGCGTAACATGATCGTGTGAGGTGACATTTTTACAACGAGAGACAGGAGTTCGAATGTAGGAAGTATACTAAAGTAAAAGATAAGGATGGAAGATTATTAATGTCAAAGTCAGCGGTTGTTGTTGCGACATTCGCAGTTGATACGATCGTGTGTTACACGTCGAATCCGATTGTAATCCCTCTCGCGATTCTATCGACGTAAACGACATTTTTTTTAAATTCCAGTCGACTTTGAATGACAATAGAATTGCGTATCGCGACGCCAATCTTTTTCCCCCGATGCACTGGATGACGCGCTCAGCGACCGCGCTACTACGCGTAACACAGTTAATCCTCCTGTGGTTCACGCCCAAGCATGCCAATTATTGTGTGCCGTGTATTACGGAAATGTAATGGGAGAGATTTATTCTCTAACGTGATATTTCTTTTATGTGCGAAGGACATCGGGTATATTTGCTCGATATTTATCGATCAAAGATTCTTCGCTGCGCCCACACGTTGTCATTTCCACACAAATGATCCTTAGATTTTAATAGATGCAATCGTAAACGAGACAGCTTTTTAAAAAAATACTTTAACATACTGGAGATATGTGCGCTCCTTGAAATTGTTATATCAATACGTAATTATAAACAGCTATATTAAACAGCAAGTTTTTCCTCGATAAAAAATACGTAATGCACAGATATGATCGTAGTTTTAGAAAAAAAGTTTTTTACATAAATAATATGTGTAAAAATTATTCAACATCAGATAATCGTTATTCAAGTTGTGAAGTTCTCCGTTTTAATTGTTATAATTATATATTAATTCTTCAATAGTTGTGAAAATTAAGCGAGAAATCGAAGAGAGTGTCTTTCTCGAAGAGTCGGGGCGCGTTCGATGGACACATTCGTGCAAGTCGTAATTAAAACACCGCGTTTAAGAAGAGCGAAAGTTAAATTTAGCGATTAAGCTATAAATGTCCACGTGTTCGCGCGTATGTCATGTTGCCATAGTTGTTCGGGGTCATAGAAAAGGCGTTCTGTGCTCTCTCGCCTGTTGCAAGATCGCTGGCAACGGCCGGTGTGTGTCGTAATAATTTTCCGGTGGTAATCGAGACGCGACTGCAAATGCATGATCAAATAGAAAGCGTATAGTTACGCCGTGTGTTCCTCTATTCTACATTGTTTTACACTTAGCACGTACCACGTGCAACGTGCATTATGCCCGTGTGCGTGTGTCAGAGACGCGGTGCTCGTATCAGCGCGTTATCGCGCCACGATCTTTCGTATCGATGACGGTTGCAGGTTGCACAAATTTGACGTGGAGCACCACCCGAAGAAAGAAAAAAATCTATGACAAGGATCAATTCAATAAAAAATAAAGAGAGAGAGAGAGACCAGCAGTCCATATAAATGCCAGCTCGCTGCAGCTAATACATCTGTAATTATCTTAAGAATTATCATTTAATTAACAGCGGGCAGGGACGGAGACTTCCTTATTGGATATAGAGCTTTCCACACCCAGAGATCCCGTGTGGGTGTGGAATTCCACTTCGGGGTATTTAAAACACTTTTTTTTTTCTAAATAATTATTTAAATGAGCTAATTCTTGCGTGATACCGAGATAAAATTAAAAGAAAAAAAATATGCAAAGAAATTAAATATATACAAGTAGAAATATATTTCGACACACAGCATAAGAGATAAAATATTTGTGTTATTACCCCCCCCCTCGCCGCCCTGCTTAGATAAGGTATTCCGACTCCCAAAAAATTCAAAAGTCTCCGTGACAGCAGGTGTCAGTTATCCGGCTAGCGCGCTAATTGAGAGTGAACGAGAGGTACGTAAATCAGACAGCAACCTCTGTAGCGGGCAATTTCCCGCCGATTCGCAATGATGTTTTGATTTTGCGCAACGTGTAAGTAGTCGCCGCGGTAGTCTACTCCCTCAGTCAGTGGTTTTCACTGCCGACGAGACATAATCTGAGAAAGCGAGTTTCTCCCGCTGCACTCTGTTGCCTCACGTTTGCCATTTGCAATGAAAATCAATTTGATAATTCCACGAAGTTAGGTAGGCTCGCTAGTACACGGGCCGGATCTTGCATGCGGTCGATTTTATCTACCAGCGGTTTGTAACTGCGGCAAAACGCCACTTAAACTCCGTGTATACATGTACGCGAACTGGTTCCGACCGCGCGTTCCGTTTTATCTGCGCGCATTCCTTCATCGGGCAACAATCCTCCCTGCGTCAAATGCAGGCGCAGTTTCGTGCCGATCGCATTTTTGTCGGCGTTCTTTATTCCCCGCGCGACGGCCGGTCCTTATGTAACTCCGCCAATAAATCCGCAAATGGCCGGTAGTGCAAAGTGGGCAGTATGTGCGCGAGAGCGCGGTTTGCATAACTGG